CAGAAATGCATATCAAAAACAAGATAAAGCTGCCCTTACGCACTTTAACATTCACCATCTGACGATCGTGGATATAAATTCGCTGTGACTGAGAGCTATTACCATTCCCGGCCTGATTCACATATGTGCCAGATAATTTGTAGCAGAACATTATATCGCATACACTTCAAATGAAAATTAACGTCTTATTTTTTCCTAAGAAAACCAGTAAGTATTATTGCGAAACTTATATTCCAGTTGCTGTAATATTTGTATCGAATGTAATGTAAAGACATCGAATTTGTAATGTTAATATATATTACACAATTAGACAATTACGACATTAAACAATCGAACACCCCCAATTAGCTAGTGCATTAGTGCGCGTTTCATCGGTAATTAATTTTTACCAAAGAGGCGGGCGACAGGTTTTTCGCTTGAGTGCGCAGTTTACCGGGCGTGTGCGTGCACTCCTCCAAGAGACCCCACCCCCGCTAGGCTCGGCGCGTGCGTCGCAGAGCGTGCGTGCGTGCGAGCTTGGCGCGTCCAAGCGTCGCGGCGTCGGGCGTCGGCGTCTGCGCTCGAAAGCAGCTGGAAAGTCCTGCGACGCGACACGCGTGGCCCTGCAGCTGCTCCTTGCACTTCTATACTAAAACTACGCACTTCTATACTTCAGACACTACTACAAACGCTCCGTCAGCGTCGGTGGTAGTATCTCCCCAAGAACATTCGATCCACATACAAAATAAAATCGGAAAGAACGAAAACGAAAAAAAAAATGTTGAGAAATCTGGTCTAGTATCTTTTATGGTTGAATGCCTGTACTTGAAGCGGTCGTGGATTAGGGACTTGGCCCAGAAAATGCCGGATTCTCACTGCTACAAGCGTATTGTGCACTACTGTATGGACTACTAGTACTGGCTCGGTCGATGCTAGTGTTCGGACGAGATTTCCACAGATCGGCTGCTGTGCTTTATGTGATCAATTCCAGACGAATGTTGAAACCTTACACTACAGCTCACAGGCGATCCCTCCTTACCAACCTCAACCTTATGATCTGGGTGATCTCTAGAGACTCTAGCAATACTGGGCGAAAGTGATCTGTGATGAACTGAGCGCGTAACTGTGTGGAAGCAACATTGGAAGAAGAAGAAGATGATGAAGATGGCTCATGGCGATTATGATACAGAAATCACGAGGTACAGCAACTTTGAACGTGAAGGCATCTTCTGAAGGGGCCCACAGTCCGCCCTTCGCATGTGTCGAGAGTGTTGCGTAAAAGCTCGTATCTCGAAACAAAACACCTCCTAAGGTTCCTCAACCAAAAATAAGTGAAGCGATGCCATCTTCTTTCTTTCCCGCTGGGAAAATCTATATCACAAACACTTCGAAACTATCCATTATCATGCGACGTATAATTTCTAGTAAAGAAAAAAGGAATGTTGTTTAAAGATGTCTCTTGCTTACGTATAAAAGGTGTCTTTTTGTATGGTAGACAACACAGCAGCACATGTTGCTTATAATATTAGCAATAATTAATACAATTTTCGTTTTGATTTAGGGAGAATATATTCCCGTATAAAGAGTTTTGTATTTTTTCAAATTGGATGCTTTCAATTTGAACAGAAATTTTATGTGCATTTCCTTTACTCGAAGCGCTATTGTAGACTAGGGGTATAGGGCATTAACGTCGGATGCAAACAGCAAGTACACTACAATTCTGACGTCCGCCTGTCCGGCCAAGGATGTCTCGACCTAATGACAGGCGCGATCGCAGGGCCAAGTCGATACAGGACTGTCGTAATGTGAACCAAATTTCGTCAATTCACTAATTATGTTTCTTTTTTCGTCGTTTATACACGAAAAAATAGTTTTCTTCAATAACACTTAGAAATACCTTTAGTGCTTCGACTTACTTTAAACACATCCTTCTGGACTTGAGCACAACCTTCTGAAGATAAGAATACTAGTCAAAAACTGCAGTGCAGTAACGAATCGTTTCTTAGCAAATTAACATTCGAAACATTTATTCGACTGGTAGAGAAGAAGACGATGGTGTGTTTTTTTCCTCATGAAATTATTCACTCTATATACGACTAAGCTCCAACAAAGGTAATGAACATAATAGAATTCTAAAATTTGGCAACTTTTGCTGAAAACATCTTGAGGTCGAAAACTCATTTCCAATATTAATATTTAACCAAATAAATAGAATTTTGGTGCATCTAGGGCAGAGGTGCTATGCAAATGAACAGAGCCGGTGCGCTAGCCTTTTCATATTCACAATTCCACGGTTACGTCTAGGTGCCTTCTGCCTGAATTGAGGCATCCTTTCTGTTCTGTGTGAATAAGAATATCCTCAAAAAATATGCTTTAACCCGAGATTCTCACTTAACTTCAAGGCTCTTTCATCATAGCAACGATGTTTGGAAATCTTTTTTTTTTTTCAGTGTAATGACAGTTGTTGAATATGGTTTCAATGCAACAAATGTACAACAAGGCTGGACAAGACGCGTGGGGAGGGTGAATTTGGGACGGGGTGGGCGGGGACATTGCGATCGGGCAACGATGTAAGTGAAATATTCCTCCTATTTTACACAGTGTTGTAGGCAGACTAGGGATCACAATGAATTATTCATTCCCCCTACTGTCTAATAGGTGATTGTGATAAATGCACGGGCAACACCCGGTTCTTGAACTTGTTATTCATATCTCAGATATAATAACTATCTTCCTTTATTGAAATAGCAGTTGCAAAACTCAAAAATTATCTATGACAAGTGCCAGGTACAGCAAAAGGCCTATAAAACAACACAAATGTAATCACTTTATTTACTCATTACCAAAATAAAGTAAGTAACATTTTCTTTCTGTAAGCGCTTCATACTGATCTGGAGATCATTGCAATGGAGAGGGCGGGAATTCAAAGCAACTGCGAATCACACATTTCAGTTACATCTAAGCTCTTGTAACCAAAGGATATTTTTAATGTAAATATTTACGTTCATTGTGCAGTTTACAAATTAATTGTGCAGAATATATTCTAAACGTAATTTCACGAAAATAACCACTCCAATCAAAATTGAATGTTTGACAGCGCTTTCTTTATTCGTAGAACAGTTTGTAACATCTTTAAATATTACTATCCTGGTCTACAACAGAAGAACAACTATTATTGCTTCACGTTTCATTCTATTTTCCTTATTCCACCTGGCTTGACAGGATAAGCGAGTTCTTTACAGGCACCCAAACGAATAATAGGTTTTTCAATTCTCATGGTTTCTCAACATGTTTTTTTAAACAATTCATACTCTTTTACTAACTTAGAGGCATCATATGACCTCAAAAGAGAACCCACTTATTTCAAGGAAAGTGGAAATACAGGTATTCTGGGATAATTTTTCAGGTGACTTAAGTACATAGAATGTGAATAAACGCTGCATCATTTTCAGGAGCAATAATGAAGAACAATGGTGTCAGTTAATGGAAAGAATGATTTTCCTTGTGATTCAGAGAATAAGGAAAGGCTGTTACAATGTTACAATAATTCCGCGAATGAATCTACGCAGAGTTGTTGTGTCAACAAGGTTGAAAGAGAAGGCGTTATCTTGCTAACTACATTTCACCTTCAAACGTTTCTTGCGAAAAATTCTCAAGGTCAACGATGCTCTAATTGCGAGCTCACGCACGCGCTTCTTTGGGATAAACAGACACGTTACTCAAAATTACAACGCGTTTCGGTTTATTCAAATGCATTAGAAACATTTCTTTTCCGTCCTGAAGAACATTTTCCTATCCTGGTCACATTAGTTTGATTCACCCACCTCACTTATCACAAACACACCTCTATGGGTAACATTTTCTCTTTCTCTCGACGCGGATATTTTTTTATCATTAGCGGACAACATACTAGTAAAGGGACTATTAATGAAAAGTTTTTTTTCAACACAAAAGCCTTACTTTGCAAAAGATACATATTTTGAAAATTATAGGCAGCGTAGCAAAAACAAAAGACTGAATTTTGTTTTTCTCAAAAGATACGAAATACATATATTATATAAGAAGCTAATCTCGGTACCATCTGAACTTCTATTGCTCAGAAGGATATTCCAAGAATTCAGGTGGAGGGTTTCTACAACTAACGGATTAGTAAGAGAACTACCACTCACTCATTTCCTTTGATCATGTGTTCACGAAACGCCTTTGCCTCAAGAGAGTGACTCTTTTTGATAAAGAAAGGAGATCATTTCTTTTTGGTAGTTGGGTTAAAACTAGTGACCTGTAGCCGCAAAATGCTTCCAAACCACACCACACAAAATTATTTTCCCAAAAGTAGCTCAAATAACAAGAAATGAAAAACTCCCATATAACATAACAATAATTTAAATACTTGAACAAACACAGTCTTCACGGATACTGCAATACTTTATTATGGCTTATACGAGGACATGTACAACAGCTCTTTACATACCAAGAACATGTAAAAAAGTTTCTGTTCCCTGTCGCAACACCTGAGTAGGAAATACTTAAAGGTAGGGGGCGTTTTCCTCTAGTGCCTTGCTGATGCGCGGCGTCAGCTGTGTTGCAAGTAGTGACTAAGTAGCACTAAATCTAACAATTTAGTCGGTACGCGAAATATGAGAATGGGCAGAATAATTCAATCACATATTTGCATTTTTCAGACAAAATCAAAATTGTTTTATTGTTTTTCGATTTTTCTGAGTTCCTTGGTATCGAACAAAACTATAGAAACTTTTCACATAAGACCGAAAACTGGATAGTTTTCTTTCATTTTCTGCTTCTTGTAAATTAATAATTTAGATGTTTAATCTTCTCTCGAAAGTCCTCATAAAATGTATAAAATAATCAGAGCACAAGGAACCTGAATCTCTTTCTTAATTTTGGGTAGAGTCGAACTGTACATTCAGAGATTCGTTGTAGGCTCGACCAAAAAGTGATATCGCAGAGAAAAACATACGTATCTCGTAATCATACATTTCTGGGAAAGAATACTTACACACTTAGTTCTCACAGTTGCAACATTCCAATGGCTGCAACCTGAAACAAGGCGAAATAAAAATTAGAACCACTGATGAACCAGTTATTGAAGCGTATTATATCCCGAGTCCCATACATTAGCATTTTCAACTCGTACGCGCTTTAACTGCTTTTCATGTGCCATACAACTGTGATTAGTCAGTCTTATCATGCTTGCCACTGGCCGTGGCTGATTTTCTGTAAGAGAAAAGATAAGGACACAAACAGTCACACATCAAAAGGAATTTATGATTTGTTTAGAACAACACACGCAGTGAATGCAGCCAAGAAATGGAAGGGACCGAACTAAACCTGTCTACTTCCCCATTTTTAATGAGGCAATGAGTACCTCAGTCACTGCAGCCTCCTCCTCCCGTCACGTGAGCGTGGAAGATTCGGCAGTACGTCGCGCGTTACCTCAGAGTAATTCTCCCGACAAGGACGCCGAAAAAAAACGCCTTAAGAAGCGCTGATGCTGTATTAAACATGACGAACACGGAGCCGACTATCTATGAATGAGATCAGACGGCCATCGCGCGGCGCTGAAGCGTCTCCCGCGGCCCGGATGAACCACCGCCCCGCCGGCCACGAACGAGGCATGAGGCCGGGGCCCGGCCCGCCGTCGCCCGCCCGCCATCGACCGCCACATCGCCCGCCCGCTGGCCGTCGCCCGCCCGCCCACCGTCCCGCTCGCTCGCTCACCGGTCGCCCGCCCGCGCCACCCGTCGCTCGCTCTGCCTCCACCGTTCGCTCGCCCGCCCACCGTCCGCCCGGCTCGCCCACCGTCGCTCGCTCACCCACCGTCGCTTCCCCACCCACCGTCGCCCGCCCAGCCCACCTCGCGCCGCGCCGGCCCACCGTCGCCCGCCCACCGTAGCTCGCACGCTCACCGTCGCTCGCTCGCCCACCGTCGCTCGCCCACCCACCGTCGCCCGCCCGCTCGACCTCCAAAGCGCTGACGGCGTCGAAGCCGGGACCTCGAGGCTGCCTCCGCAAAGACGTTGAGTGTCGTACTTGTTGCTGAGTCCAGCCGTGGGAAGAGGCAAACACGTTTATGACCTCTACTTCCTTCCTCCAGTAGGGGGCTCGCCTTTGCTTTCCCCTGGGCATTCAAGTACTGAGGTGAGCATGACGGGTGACTGTCTATGATTGATTATGAATATGAACGATGGGCGTAATTCAACCCAGCTCAAAGCACCCGCTCCAAATACATTGACGAAGACTAGATAGAAGACGTGAAGTAATACAGATAACTGAATTTTGAAAAACGTCGTTGTACTTAAGTTCTGTAAAAAAATTGTACTTAACTTCTACGACAACGAAATTTATGTTAGCATTTTTTTGTCTTTTGATCTTTCTGATTGTTACTATGACGTCATTTAGTGCGACTTGATTGACAAAAGAAAAACTACAAAAAAAGTGTATCAACGTTCAAGCTGCTCATCGCTTCAACATCATCAACAGCAACCTGTACCAGCGACGTATTGAGTCCCTGCCATTGGCGCGGAGATTAACCTTCCGTTGTGGCGCCTGCTGCGGGCGAGGATGCGGGTCCTGTTCTTGTTTCCGGTGGCGCGGTGCGCGGTAAAACTGTTGCGGCGAAGGCCGTCCGTCCGAGCGGCGGCGGCGGCGGCGTCTCTCCCAGGAGGCTGTGCTCATCTCTCGGCCCCCTGCCCTCCCCCGCGCGCGGGCTCCAGGGGGCCAAGGCCGCCGGCGGAGACGAGCAGGCGAAGAGCCGCGCGCGTGGGAGCCGTCGCTCGCGAGTTCAGATTGGGCCGCGGTCGAGGCTCCACCTGCGGGAACAATAGGTCTGGCCTACGCCCGCTCTCCTAACATCCAGTAATCGTTGTGGGTTTTTTGAATTCTGAAGGTCTCCCAATATTTCAAGAATCACAAATAGGTTCTATTCAAACCATTAATTTTTCAGCCCAAAACATTTTTCATCTAGGCAAAACTTCCGACCCTCTACAAACAAGAATCCGCTCCACACTTCCCAAGGACAAATTTTAAAACCGCCTTAAACCAATCCCACAACTCCTTCATTCCTACTGCAGTTTATAGATATAATAAAAGGCTTCCAATTAACTAAAAAGTGAATCTAATTCCGCACAGCTAGATGGTTGAAGAGGATCCCAGAGGGGACACCCTCCTTATTTGTAATAATTTGAGCATAGCATATGTACTATGTGTGAAATTATCTCTAACTGATCTGTTAAGTGGTTACTCCGCTGCACCAGAAAAAATAAAAGAAAAAAATAGTTAAGAGAATATTTTATTCATATGGTTCATTTTTATGGACATATTTTATTCATATGTAATATTTTTTAATGATTAATAGCTAATATTGCATAGATAAATCTTGATGGTCCAGCAATGAGAAGGGAAACATCGAGACTAGGACATCTGACACGAAAGTCTTTTGTGCTCACAAATTCTGCGAGCCTTGGGTAGGCATCAAACTCCGATTCGTAGTTGTGAAAAGGTGGCTGGAGCTCGTTGACCACCACGCTAGTTCGTTCAGCGCCTCTCATTTTTAGCTGAATTCGAATTTATATTCCACCAGGTGAAGAACGTTTCTTAAATACGAGGATGCAGTTAGTGCATGCGATATTCAATTTTTCAAGAAAATAAAAGATACTAATGCCTCTTCTATAAGACAACAATGCAAGTAGGTTGTTCTCTTAGTAGTCCTCTGGTCATTTGTTTCATATTTTGCAAATTAACTGCATATTTTTTTCCAAAAGTTGCCAGAAATATCTGAAGTTCGTGTAAATATTAGATTACGTTATTTTTCTTACCTAATGTGGGCAAATGCTCTAGTTTTAAAGAAGTAATTAAATATCATTATTATCAAGTCATTTTTGACATTTATTGCAGACATTTGTTTTAGAAAGCTCCCTTTGTAATTCGCTATTAAGAAATATGTAAGTTTACATACCTCTATTCCGAAACACTTAAACATCATTAAAATTGTAGTAATTAGGGGCAGAATTAATGGAGAAGTAATGAACAGTGGTTAATTATTTAGACTCGGAAGAAGAAGGGGTTTCCATGGGAAGGGAATCTCTTCACTGCGTGAAACTTCAAGCGAGGAAGCTGCTTCGTGGTGAATCAGAGATAACAAGCGCATCGCGTTCTGCCTCATTTTCCATCCTTAGTCTTCCGGAAACCGAAAAGAGGTGCAACAATCTGCGAGTTAGATAGGGAAAGTGATAAATTCGCCTCTTCCCAGGAAGTTGTGCTAGGGGAACAGCATAGTACAAATGCAATTCACCAGAGCCTTCCGTACCTTCTGCTCAATGTCAGCTTGAGGGTTCCCTAAAGCTGAACAGATGCGCAGCCAATCACGTCCCTCAGGGCCGAACAATCGAGAATCCCTGACCCCCAAGGCGGTGATCTTTCAAGAGGCTCCTTGGCCTCAACTCGCTGCTTCTGCTCTCTCCCCTCCATCGCGTTTCGGATTAATACCGTCACCACGCACTAAGTAGCGTTGCAAGAAGTACTTCGAGTATCTCCATCAGTCCTTTTCTCATTCTGGAAAATGTCTTTCATGGTCAGATAGATTAATAAACACAGCTAAAATATGTCTGCTGTTTCACTAATTCCTCGCGAATTATGTGTAAATAAGCAGGTATCAACGCGATATTTTATACATGACATTTGCCGAAAATGTACTTGAAAACACCGAAGGACCAAAGGAATTGGTATTGTGTACTCTTATCCTATAATTTCAAGGTGCAACAGGAATCGAGTTTGCAAGTCAAATCGAAAAAAATATAGTACACAGCTATTTTCGTTTATTTCAGGTCGCATTAACTGCTATGTTATTACCAACCACTATTGATTAACGTTAGGGTATTAGTATAACTGAATGAAGTGATAAGGTAATGGTGAGGAGTGAAAGAACGAACACAAATACAACCATGCCCTAGGCGGAACTCGTACCCGCAATCCTTCAGCCCGAAATCGCCAAGGCACTACTGCCTTAGCGATCTCAGCTACCCGGATCGGCAGTACACAGCTGTAGTGATAGAGATAAACGTTTTCAGCGTTTTCGCTATCTTTTCAATAGAGACACAAAGAAAGTTAATAGTCTAAGCATCTGTTCTCAATGAAGTGTTTAATAGCTGTCATCGCCCAGGGCAAATTTATTTATGACAAAAATATGAGGTATATGCAATGATATATCATTGGATGTTCTTCCTGTTATGCAAGTGCCACAAGCTTGTATTCAATTTAGCAGAAAAATTATCCGAAACTTTTTTTTGTAATATACATATATATATTACAATTATATATGGTGAGACTACGTCGTATTTTTGTTATAATTCTAAATTCAGGCCTTTCGTACACAATTCAAGAACGATATTCGAAAAAAATATATACTTAAGTGTTATATTATTGAAAATTAATGATTTCTTCATCGCTCAGCGAACATGATTACGGTCGATGAATTTTGAAAAGTTCAGAATGCATAATACCTATCATAGCAGATATTTAACAATATAACAGCATAATCATAATTTCGAATATTTCAAGACGTGTATCGAAAGTATTACGTATTCGTTTTTTTCGAAATCATTTATTAAATTATTTGGTGCCCCGTTCCTTAGAAACGCCAGCGCCTTGGGTGCAGACCCCGCTCACCGCGTCATCAGCTGTCCAACCTCGCAGGCGGCCGCTCATTACCTCACTCTCTTTCCCCAAATCACGCAGGTACACGGAAAGGAAAGAACTTCCTTCTCATCCTTCCGATTTTTAAGGTTTGAATACGTCATCGTTCCTTGACATATAAAAGAATAAAACTTTTTTTTTATTATCCTGATTCATTAATATATATTGTTTCTCTTCGTGAATGATTCAAACCTGAATAGGATGCATATCCCCCAGTGCAGAGCTGACAACACAAAATTCAGTTGAGTAAAGTTGCAGACTTCCGCGGCCAGAGACTTGCAAATGCTCTTGGCTGTCCGAGTGACGTCGTATAAGGTTGTGGCATCACAGCCTTCAATACACCGTCA